AAGGTGTTTCACATTGCAGGAACTTTCTTTCCCAAAATTAGTTTCCCTCACAAAAGACACCAGTATATATAAAGTAATCTTTTTTCATTTTGACTGAGTCTCAGGGAAAAGTAATACCAACTGAAGATTTAGAGACAAATAAAGCCTGTTCTTCATGAGCTCCATCAGAATGAGAAAGCCTTTTAAGGAGAGTCTTTGCTAGACACAGACGTGGGCAAGTGGATGTAAATGGAGCGAACGTGGAAGACAAAAGCCTTCTGGCTTTAAGGGGCCAATAAACACATACCCAAGAAGGAGCCTGAATTTTCCAGGGTGGGTTTCTCTGTTTTGCTTTCTCACTGCCACCACTGAGCCTCAAGGCCTGTGGCATTTCTTTCTCCAGGACACTGTGGGATAAAGGAGAGGATGAACCCTCCTGGGCTGTGGTAAATCACCCACAGCAACAAGCTTGGCAATCATCTTTCTTGCATGTTTGCTGTTCGTATTTGATTTATTTCTTCAAAGAACATGCAATGCTGAGTCTGTGGTCACTCCACAAAGGACAGCCCCAATCTCACTGCAAAAACAGAAGTCTGCATCTCCCCTCCTGAGGGGACTGGCCACACCACATGGTGCCCACAGCTGCTTTCTTTGCTCTGAAGGGCATGAATTTGGAGCATTGGGAAATAGACCCTGTTTACACTTTCCCATCACAAGAAGTTGTGTTAATCAGCATGTGTGACATGTCACAGAAGAATAGTTGTGAGTTTGGGACCTTGCTGGGAAGTTGCCCTGCTCTCTGAGGTCCAGCCTCACAGTGCTGGGTTTCTGGCCACTGCACTTGGGATAACCCTCCCTGTGTCTAGATGAAAGGACAATTGTGTTGCCATGGAGATACTAATCAGAGTGGCTCTCTGATCTTTGCTATCTCTCCTCTACCTTCGCCTTTACCCACTTTTTGTAAGAGATTGCCACCAGTGGCTTTGTGGTCCAATTTCTGATTTCAGTTTATTAAGAAAAAGCTGAAAAGCAGAGGTCAGGGGTGCCTGCCCTTAGAAAATTGCTCACCTTGTTTTTGGTGTGAGCAGAATGACCTTTCCACGGCTGTCTGCCTCTAGCCTGCTAGGAAATGAGAGTTACTTTTCAAAGAAGGGAGCTGTTGCAGAAGGGTTTTATGTTACATTGGGGAACATGATCACTTGGTTCTAAAACCATTCTGTGTCAGCCCTGGTGTGGATGTAAAGCAGGTCACTTTTGTCCTTCTCATGGGCAAGGATCACTGCCTGTGAAGAATAGCACTTGTCCTGGTTGTGTGGCTGTTCTAAGAGTGCAGAAAACAGACAACCTTACTAGAGACTCAACATTTGCAACTGGAACCTGCTGAAACCTATCTCCAGCACCTGAGTTGCTTTGTGGCATGTGGAGTATATTACGGGATCAAGAAGGGGATAGCTTGGAGTTTCTCACCATCACATAACTGTCAGTGATTCCCCTCCAGAGGCCAGGCCCATACGGCAGGCTGGTCAGAGCAGAATTTCTGCAGCTGGAATGGCAGCAGGGCATTTCTTAGACCTCCCCAGGTGATTATAGTGAGCAGCCAAGTTTAAAAACATTACCTTAAGGAAACAAGAAAAGCCTGTTGAGTTTTTGTGGTCCCATATCTGCCTTTTATACTCTATCAAGTCAACTGTGGCCAGTGCCCACTCACATTCACCTACAGAAAACAGAGACATTGACCTATTTTTTAGCTTCAAAGCAGAAGAGGCTCTTTCTTTGGGTCAATGACCTGTAAGTCTCCAAATGCACACCTAGTAAAAAGATGTTTCTTTGAACGCCTGCAGAAGATGATGAGATCTGTTGAAAACAGGAGACTCAGCTTCATTTATCTGTGGAGAAAGACTTTATCAAGCCTAATGGCACTTGCATGTTCCAGGAGAAGTCAGAGTGGTCCTTTGGCACCCTGGTCGGGGTCCCCTTGGTACCTCTGCTTTCACCCTGTGCTAAGTCATGACAACAAAATGCAAACTGACTTTGAAGACCTTCCTGAAGGTTTAAGGGAAAGACAAATGAGAAGATCACAATGCATCCATACAGGAAGCCATACTTAAAAATCATCCAAATGTTCTTCATTAGCCATTTTTAATTTCCTTCCAAATGCAAAGCTCCTCCAAAAATCCCTTAACTGTTCAGAGCAATGGAGTTTCCCCTTTGCCTTCATCCTCTACTCTGCAAAGCAAACCCCTGAAAATGAGCTGCTTTGTATGACCCGTTAGACCTCAAGCCCAGCCTTGCAGCAGAGAGGGGTCACTCAGTTCACCTGCCACTGTGTTTATTAGGAACTTAGAAATATTTGAGAAACATCACCATCATTCCCATGTTCATTACCAGTCAAACTTTGGGCACCCTGAGCAATCTGCTCTCAGAACTCCGAAAGCGCACATTTTCTGGACTGCTTACCTGAACCTTATCAGCTGCTGCACTGCCTCACCCTGTCCAAGTGTTTCTCCAAATGAGATGGAAGCCCCTTCAGAATATTGTCTTTCACTTCTCTGCACCTTCCTCTAAGCCTTACATGTCAATAAATATTTTTGTCAATCTGCCCGGAGAGCACTGAAAACACTGCTGTCTGATGGTGGTATTGAAGGAAACTAGAGACCAGAAGAAGGGTGCATAGTGTATGAAGTCCAATCAGAAGATGGGAAGATAAGTATGTTGCCCAGAGGCACCCTTTCCCAGAATGGGGCGTAATCTCCCCCATGGAGCTAAGTACTGACATACACTTGCTTGGACACTCATGGGTCTCTGTCACCTTCTGGTTTCTGACTGGCACTGTGATAGAGCATAAATAATATGACAATAACAGGCCTACGCTAGTGAGTACTTACAAAGTATTGATAAAGCACTGCTCTGAGTGCTTTCCTGTATCAGCCCACTCAGTCATCTCCATACCCCTCCATCCCCAGTATATGTTTCACATTGCCAGGAGACATAGAGCCAATATATGACAAGGCTGCCCTTCAGGCCCAAGCCTTGTCAAAGCCAGGCATGTCCACTTGCTGTGCTCCGGCAGGAAAAGCAAAGTCTGCTTCCCATGAGCCTGCAGGCTAGTTGAAGAAAAGAAAAAATAACTGCAGAAGACAGAGCCTTAAGAAGTTAGGCCAACAGTTTGGATGTCAAAGCTGTATGAGGGATGGCTTGCAGAGCATTGTACGTACTCTGACAGAAAGCCTGCTCAGGTATGGATAGCGGCACCCACAGAGATTCAGAAATTATAGGGCTGGGTTGGGAAGGGCGGGTGTGGGAAATAACATGGGGCTACAATGTTCAAAAGACCAAAAATAAAACTGAAAGAAACTTCTCCTAGGACATAAATCTGCCCTAGACAGGCGAGGCGGAGGAAAAGAAAGGGCACATCCATTTTCAGGCCTGCACAGGTGCCTCTGACTCAAAGTCAATAACTGTTCAAGGACAAGGGCAATGATGAATGATTGGGAGGTGACCTGTGTGTCCAGACAAGATGGGTGGTGCTGGGCACAATAGAGGATGATCCCCATGTCAGAAAGGAATGAGACAGGCCCCTTTCTCCAGGGGGTGCAAACTGACTGGTGCATACACCCCACTCTCCACCCCTCACATACAGACATCAGTGGATCTAGGGGAAGCAGATCCTAAGCTCAGATGTGAAGGCTGAAGCAGAACTGATTAGACTCCATGTTCTGGATTCCAGAAGGGGCCAGATATAGTTCCAAGGAAGGTTCTGCCTGCTCTTTGCTCTCTGACTTTGTTATGAGGTTATAGGAAAAAGGTAGTGCTTGACTCACTGAAAACTTTCTCCATGTACAAAGGCTGTAATATGTTGGGGTACCCTTGAACTCACACTGGAACTGCCAGATGGCTGGATCTTTGCACCTCAGCCTCCCAGGCGTATTGTACTCAGAGCCACAAGTAATAAGTAAAAGCTATTTGAATCTTCACTGAATGCCTTGAGAACACTGAAAGGGAGGTCCATCTGTGCTTCCCAATGCCATTTCTTAGGATCTCTTCACCTATATCACACCTATGGCAGCTACCCCAAACATCTCCTAGTACCCTGTCTTTCAATCTTCCCCAAATTTTATGGAATCTGGCCCATAAATCCCTCATCCTTCTTCCCCTCCTATTGAACTTCCTTTTTGCTGCAGCCCTCTGCTTTTCCAATGTCCTCCAAGCCAGGAACCTCACCTAGTCCTATTCCTGACCACACCCTTTTTTCTGAGACTTCTCATTAAGGCTAGAAGCCAAGGCTCCTACAGATTCTCCTTTGGAATACAGGAGGGTGTCAGAGCTATGAAATGTATTGCTATGATCTAGGAATTATCTTTCCTAATAGGATTAACCCCTAACTACCACCACCTTTTCTATTTTATGAGAAGAAATTATTTGTGTTAGGCCTGGGCCCAGATACTTGAGGTGACATGGCCTTGAAGCAAAGCTGATTCAGCCTACTACAAACTATCTCAATAATTCCCCAAATTCAGGGGCTGAGAATGTCAGACTCATATGAAAAGCTTGTTAGGAATTTCTCTCCAGATTCTTGGGCCTTTCCCCATACATGTTGATTCAGGAAGTTGGGGAGAGACCCAAGAAATGTGTTTATTAACAAGATCACCAGGTAATTCTGGTAACAGCTGTGTTTGAGAACCTATTCTTGCCTAATTACTAAAGGTCTGAAATGGCTTCAATTTTATGTAAGCCATGTGTCCATAAAATAGACTCTTACAAGACCATGTGGCTGATTCCTGGGCCATGGGCTGTGGGCACAAGCTGTACAAAACATGAGGATCAAGGTGGGACAGGCATCAGGAGGGTTGGAACCTACCTATTTCACATAATCTTCCCGCAACTACCTGGCCTCTGGTACAATGTTAATGGCAATCTAACAGATTAGTAGTAAGCAAACTTACATTTTATTTATTGCCCTGACTCCAGAATTGCTATCAGCTCTAACTTAAGTGTCTGTTTTTACGTTCCATCATTCCCAGGCATGAAAAGTAACGTGAACAAATCCCAAGGCATGAGGAAGTGGGCCTCGTTCTCTAGGACCCCGCAGCGTTGGAAACGAAGCTGAGCAGACTTTATTACATCCTACAATTCTGCAACCTTTCGCAAAGCATTTTATTACACTTGTGGAAGTCAACAGGGTTACATTTCAATCATGATGACTGACAGGCTAACTTCAAAACAACAGCATCGGCAGCCTTCCACACTTCCTGGTCTGTCTACTTAGAACAGAACCCTTCCTGAATTGTTCCTTGGCCTGGGTGGAAATAAAATGGTAGTTAAAATATTTATCTCGTGTGTTGGCTATCTTAAAAATTGATGTTTTGAGGCTCTGAAACTCACAACGGAGAAAGTCCATCCCTTAGAACTACTTCTGTGCTCCCTGTAAACAAAAGGTGTGTTAAGGCTGAGGTAAGATTTAGAGAGTTTCCATTTTGGTAGGTAAGAAACTGGAACAAGAAACGTACAATGTTTCCTTGGTCATAGCCTTCTCCTGTAGAGAGGCAGAGTAGAAAGAACCTACAACAGCTAAAAATTAGCTTCTAGAAACTAATAAACACAATGCAGGAATCAGACACCTTAGACAGGCTGTTTGGGTGGTTGGAATATAAGGAAGGAGAATGGAGAAGTTCTCAGTATGTCTTAGGAAGCACACTCCATGCCCACAATAATCAGTTTCTTTAAGGGAGGATGACAAAAAGATGCCTTTTCTTCTCTTGATATATTAATAAAAGGAGAGATTAGAGTTTAGAGAGAAAAATAAAATACATCAATAGCACTGCTACAAAAAAACAAAAGCAGGATTTTTTTTTTCATGAAAAACCTCCTTGAGAATCCCTTTGGTCCATGGGCCCTTCCCTGAATCGAACACCATCACTAACATGTTTCCTATGATTTGTAAAACAAATGGCTACCACTGGGTGGCTTAAAACAACAGAAATGTGCTCTCTCTCTCAGTTCTGGAGTCCAGAAATCCAGAATGCAGCAAGGCCGGGTTCCCTGCAGAGGCTCTGGAGCAATCTGTCCTTGCTGCTGCTGGCTGCTGGCAGTCCTTGCCATCATTTTCGCCTCTGCCTCTGTCTTCACGTTCCTCCACTTCAATCTGTGTGTCTCCCCTCTGCACATATCTTATAAGGACACGTCATTGGATTAAGGGCCCACTCAGATAATCCAGAATGATATCTCGAGATCTTAATATCCTTCACATAATTATATTTGCGTAGGCCCTTTTTCAAAATAAGGTACCATATCTTTATGGGGGGGTGCTATTCGACCCACTACTTAGGACATTTGTCCTTTAATTGTTTCTAGTCCAGTGTAAGTCAATAGACTGAGTATGACTGAATTGCATGCCATTTCAAATCTTATATGTCTTTGTCAAAGTCCTATTCATTGACAATGATTGGAGGTGACTTTTTGAGACGTGGAAGCCCTCTGGTTCCCAAGCAAAGTCTGGGAGGTTTCTTTCTTAGCTGAAGGTAAAAACTACTACAGTGTGAACAGGATGTGCTCGGAAGGTAAAACGCCAGTGAGGGAAGGTGGCAAGTACTGGTAATTTCACCAAGCTTGAGGGCTACTGATTTGTGGACCAGGTCAAACATTGATCTCATCTCAGTTTTAATAGCAAATGCCACCAAAATGCCTAGCCTCTAACTCTAAAGCTAATTCCACATGTCACTCGTAAGGCTGAGGTAAGTAAATAAGGAGTAAATAAAATGAACAGCCACTGATGAAATAATGAATGGAGTCATACTGCAAGCCTGCCTGCAGTTTTGTTTCCACTTCATCTGTGCAAGTAAAACCCTACAGGAGCCTCATTTCCACCTGTCCACCCAGCAGTTTCCTCATTCCACGCTCTTCCTATAACCCTGCTGTGATTTGCAGGCTGTGGGCACGGAAGGTCAGCCTGAATCTTAGCTTCCATGCCAGTCCACGCTTAGCTGGAAGGCATGATGGCCCAACAAGGACTGTTTAAGAGTGCTTTTTAAAGAATGTGTGAAGAACTGACAAAGCCTTCTGATACCAGTAGGGAAAAAAAACAGTTATTACTCCTTTTGCTAAAGTGGGTCTGGTCTGCACTGAGAACATACAAAAGACAAAGGAGAGCAATGCTTAAGTTAGAACAATGTTTCTGGCAATAGCCGCCTTGTCTCTCTGATTTTTTTCTTAGACATAAATACCCACTTGGCTGCTTCTGTTTTTCTCAAGAGCTGGAGATCTGCTAATTTTGTGGTAAACAATAGATAACTCAGCGGTAGATTTGCGTCCATTTCTATTGTGCTGGTCCCTCTCTCTGTTGACAACACTAGAAGGAAGATTCTTCTGCTTATCTTTGTGTGCTTACTCTTCAAACCCTAGGCCCATTTTGTATCTTTATTGCTCTGCCCGAAGTCAAAATCCAAAAGGTGGAAGAGACTGATATTCTATTTTTGGCAAGGAACTTGAAAGAATGTTTTCCCGTGATTACCTCCACCACAGCTACCCAAAGTTATAGAACAATACTCCTCAAACCCCATCAGTTCTTTCACATGATAAGAAGGGGCTGTGTGTCCCAAAGAGCAGGAGCCTCTCCTGTCTCTCCTCTTCAGTATCCAAGCTTGAAACTTAGGTCTGGGCATGGATCTACTTCTTGCAGTGGTCTGTACTTTCTAAGTATACTGCCCAACATGCTGATAAAAGAAGGAAATGAGCTTTTGTCATATATTTATTATAGATATATTTGCAAATGTTTTATTTAATCCACACAAGATCCCTACATGATACATATGGAAATTTAGGTGACTTGCTCAAGGTGACAAAGTTGGTAATAAGTGGGTTTGGGGTTAACTTAGGCCTGATTTATAAAACCATTGCTCTTAGGGGAAGAATTGTAACCAAGGGCTTCAGCAAATTTAATATATACCTTTCCCAGTTTTCTCCTGAAACGTCAATTGAGTTGACAGCTTGGTTCTTTGTACTGATGTTCAAATGAAAAGGGGGCAGGGATAGTTAGGAAAAGGCAGGGAATATCCAAACATTCTCAAGTGAAAGCATCCTCCTAGTCATGTAAATGTAGACAACTAATGGCATTCCTATACCTTAATAAAATGTGGGAAAAGTGTTACTAAAATGCTTACTGTAACTCTGGGGCAAATGTGCTCACTAAAAGGTTAATAATTATGTATCTTAGGAGTAAAACGCTAGTGCACTGTTGGTGGAATTGCAGACTGGTATAACCACTATGGAAAACAGTATGGAATTTTCTCAGAAAACTAAAAATGGATCTGCCTTTTGACCCAGCAGTTCCACTGCTAGGATTATCTCCTAAGTATCCTGAAACACCAATCCAAAAGAACCTATGCACTCCAATGTTCATAGCAGCACAATTTACAATAGCCAAGTGCTGGAAGCAACCTATGTGCCCATCAGTCAATGAATGGACCAAAAAATTATGGTACATTTACACAATGGAATTCTATGCAGCAGAAAGAAAGAAGGAGCTCCTACCCTTTGCAACAGCGTGGATGGAACTGGAAAGCATTATGCTAAGCAAAATAAGCCAGGTGGTGAAAGACAAATACCATATGATCTCACCTTTAACAGGGACCTAATCAACAAAACAAACAAACAACCAAAATATAACCAAAAACACTGAAACTGACAACAGGCTGACAGTGACCAGAGGGGAAAGGGGAGGGAATTTCAGGGGAAAAGGGGAAGGTTTTGCAGGAACAAATATAAAGGACACATGGACAAAAACAAGGGGTGGGGGTGGAAGTGGGAGGGAGGTGGGGAGGGCTGGGGGGGTGGGGGGTAAAAGGCAGAAAACTGTACCTGAACAACAATTAAAATAAAATAAAATAAAATAACCTTCACACGCACACACACACACACACACACACACACACACAAAGTAAAACATAAATTAATATGTAATTACTTAATTATGAGGATTAAAAAATGAGTCAGTCTTACTTGGAACAACCACCACCATCAACCTCAAGCATGGTCACACTTGCAGCTCATTTCAGATCTGAAAACATCTCGATCACCTACTATGTATCAAAGGCAATGGCTTAGCAACCAAAAACAGGGTTGCCCTCAAGGTACAGCTAGAAAGTAAAGTAACTGGATTGCAGAGGGGAGGGGAATAGGAACAGCCAAGCTAGTTTCAACAAGAATATAGGCCTTACTTCTAGGCAACAGAGGATTGCCTAGAGGTAAGAAAGAAGATTTCTGAATCTATTATTATTACTATTACTATTCTTTTTCACATAAAACTCACAAAAATCAGCCAGTCTTTCCTCTTGCCTTTCTCTCTTCCTTTTTCTAATGTTTATTTTAAAATATTTATTCAATAAATATGTATTCAACACCTATTGTGTGCCAAGTATTGTATGTACTAGGTGCCACTGCTATAATGCAGAGCAAAAACATTTGGAAGTATCTATTACCCTCCTCTGTAGATGAGGAAACCAAAGTTCAGAGTTTGTGACTTGCTTAAGGTCGGACACTAGTAATGAGGCATTTCTGTACACCAAAGCCTGGGGCTCTTTCCTCTAAGCCAAGCTGTTTCTCAGAAGACAGAACAAGAGAGAACAGGAGATCCTTTATGAGTTAATTCATGGTTTTCTGTATAGAGCAGCCCCAATAAACACACCTACTTTCCCCACATCAAAATTAGCTGAGGAAACTCAGTCTAGGCCTCTAAGGTTCAATTTCTGTCAATGTGATGAACATTTACTAAGTGCCATCTGTGTGTATACCCTGAGGGTGGGGGTGGCTCTCAGAGAGCAGTTTGGCCCTTCATTTCACCCTGCAAGTGCCCTGCTGTCCTCTCCCTTTTTGACAATAGAGCAGCATTTTGGTCCCTCACTGAGCATTCTGCCTAGTGACCCTGGCCAGGGTGAACATCTCCTTGTCCGATGCTGTTCTTAAGGAAGGATCTGGAATAAGACCCCCAGATTCCCAATGAGCCCCATACTGCTGGTTCAAGGTCACACTTTAGTAAACAGACTTCCATCCAAGTTGCTTAGATGTCCTTCACCACCACTTTTATGTTTTTCTATTCCACTTCTCCCATTTTTCTCTGCCTCTCTTCTCATTCTTCTCTCTGCCAGGAGGTAGGCTCACAAAAGCAAGTCCATAACCTTGAATGACAATCTAAAGCAGTGGTTCTCCATCATATCAACTTACAGGAAGGGCTTGTTAAAATTGATTGCAAGGTTCCACCTCCAGTGTTTCCCACTCAGTAGGTCTGCAGTGTGCCTGATACATCCCCTGGTGATGCT